GTTAGTGCCCGCAGAACCTAGCTCTGGTCAGAGGAAGGGCAAGTCCATGGGAAAAGGAATGACCGCAAAGATGCGCTTCTGTGTTGAAAAGACTTGATTTTAAATGTGGCCCATGGACATCTGAAAGGAAAAGCTCTCACTCCTCCCTACGAGTGTTGAAGTATAGCAGTTTAATATCTGCAGAGAACACACCATGGTTCATATCTGTAATTCCAGCACTCAGGAGGCTGAGGCAGGAGGATTGCTGCAAGTTGTAAATAGAAAATTAAAATTCTGGGTTACAAATATGTCTCAGTAGTAGGGGGCTGGCTTAGCCCACAGCAAGGCTTCACCCAAGGTTTCACCCAGGCATCACAGACAGACAGATACACACACACACACACACACACACACACACACACACACACACATCCTATCTAACTGCTATAACTACAAACCACTTCCTTTGGCCAGGCACATAAGAATGAAAGTGGTCTGAGGTTGGTTTAGACCATATTGCTGCAGTTCTTCGTATTACCCTGACTGACATCTCAAGCAAGCTTTTACAAATACAGATGACCTGCCTCTCTGCCTTCTAAAAACTGCCCTACTTCCTTCAGAGCTGGTATGACAGGCTAAGAATAGTCACTGCTAAGAAATAAAAAAGTGAGGAGAAAAGAAAATGTCACCAAAAGCTCCCTGTGTGGATACCAACCTGCCTGCCGACCCCTCTCTTACCTTGATCAACAGAATGAGCCATAGGGACATCAATTAGAACTTTCCCACTGCAACAACTAATTGCAGAGTTTAGAGATCGGCACTTCCAGAACTGTTAGCAAGACTCTGACACTGAGATCCTCCCATGGACCTTGTTATCAAGATCAGAACCAGTGGACAACATCTGTCTCTTCTAGAGCAATCAATTCCCAGTCCAATTCCATTTGCTCCATGCGTAGAGTGGCGGCCCCGCAGGGCACTTTTCATCTAATAGTGTTTCTATGGAAACACCACTCTCAACCTGGAAGATTCTACAAGCCCTCTCACTGGCTGTATCCACATGAGAGGAAAGTCTTATAAATCAGAGATTGAGGCATGAATTTGGTCACACACATATGAAAAAAATTTTCCAGGCTAGATGTTCACACACAGACACACACAAAAATAAATAAATAAATAAATGAAGGAAACAAACACACGTAGAAAATACATGTCTTTTATTCAGAAACAGCGTTGGTAAGGCTTAACCTGAGGGGTCCTCAGATCAGTGGAAGGGCGGGTTGGGAGTCGGGAAGACAGGCTGCCAGTTGGCGCCAAGCATTGGCCTTTGAGAGCTTTCTCCACCTGGGTCTGTATCTCCAACACCCCCACTTCCCCCCAGTTTTCAGGATGCCTGGGACACACAGAGGCTCCAAGCAGGAAAACACAGTCACTTCACATTCTAAATAAGACCCTCATTAACCACTTTTCTATCTAGGTTACATTTTTAAAATGCGCTATGATCGGGCAGGGAAACAAAAGAAGAAAAAAGACTCTTGGTTTTAACCTGGAACGTTGTATTTAGTACTTTTCCTTAGTCCAGGAGTCCCCTGACATATCTCTATAACACAGTATTATAAACAAAAATGTGGACTGCCAAGCACATCCAGGGGAAGTCCCCAACCCCAGCAGGCTGTTTACTGTGAGGGTATGTCCTGGAGGAGGGGAAATACCTTGGGGTGACCTACGTCCCAAACCGAGTCTGACTCATGAAGATATCAAGAAGTTTGTAAGTGTGTGCAATGGTTTGTGTCCAGTCAAGCACAAGCATCTCCATCAATAAATGCTTCTATGTCCTTCCCTCTCCGCTCTCCTTAACCATCTAGATCTTGTCACTCATCCTTCTCTCTCGCAGGGAACCGTTTCTTTTAAGAGATTTTCCCTACTTAGCGACACTGACAAACGTTCAGGAAGTCTAAGCTGGGGGATTGACTGCACTGAAAAGTCTGCTCACTCCGTAGTCACCCCCGCTTTGACTTGTCTCCTTCGCTCTTGTGTTTACTCCACACAGGAATGCGCAGGTTGGACCGCTGGAGTCCAGGAGTTCAGGAACCAGCCATCGGCTCCCTGGACTAGGAACACGGACTGCTGATTAAATCTACCTGTGGCTAACTAAATACCAAGGCAGTTTCCTTCCCTTGCAGCTGGGTACAAAGCCTTTTCTACGCCTTTGACACACAAATGCTTGAAAGCCTTTTCAGCTTTTAAACTGAATAAATTCAATAGAAGGATCAGTCCATTTATTTTAAAAGAATGGGAGGGGGAGAAAAAAAACCCTAGCAACTTACTTTCTACAAGGTGTTCCAGGTTTTTAGACTATGCCTTTTGGTATTTAAGAAAATTTCACTTACAATTTGCTAATAAATGATCATTGCTATTTTTAGTTAGCCAGAGTTTTGATCACTCTTTTATGTAGAGCAAGACTTCTGAATGGAGTTTTCAGATAAATTATATTAATCACGTAGAAATGACATCATCGTTTACAGTGTGTGACAGTCTTCCTAAGGAAATGTCTCTAAAGAGATACTCCTCTAGAAGTAAAGTTACCATAGGCTCAGTATTAACATGTAGCAATACTCTTTCAAATAGACAGTTTTTTCCATAGAATTTACTGGAATCAGCTCCTGACTGTGACTCTGCTTAAGTTTCCCAGACATTCCCTCTGTAAGGATTATAAAAGAAGGGAAGGGCATTTCTTGAAAATGGAAATCCATTTGTTCTTTCCATCACAGGGACGGTGGGAGGATGCTCACTGGGGAAGGAAAGGGCAAAAAATCCCACACCCCTTAGCTTTGCCTTAAGATGATGTCATCAGAGTAACTAACTGGCTTTTGAGAAATCGCTACGATCGGTATTTCTACAGGAGTAGACGGCACTGGAGTGGGTCAGGGTGTGGAAGTCCCCAATAGAAACTTCAATGCAACTTCCACAGACGTTCACAGAGAGCCCCAGAAGCCTGGAGAGGGGGCTTCCCTTCCAGGACAGTGACCCAGGCCTCCAGAAACCACACAGCTCATGAGTAATTTCCATTACAATTGTCCCAGTAACACACAGCTCAGATAAGCATTGTGCTTTAGGTAAAACTGTGCTACTAGGAAGGGTTTGGTGTATGATTTTTGTTTCTTTGAGACAATACCACTCTCTGCAAGGTTCTTCACAAGGGTACAACCTGGGAAAACTGGCAGGTGAGTTACATAGCTCGTCCCTGACTCTCCTGATTCTGTCTGAACCAATATTTGATGATATTTTATTCAGGGCCATCTCAGCATCAAGCCTCCCCAAAGCTCCTTCTCTAGCTGAGACGGGAGCTGGAGCTATTTCTTTTTCCCGTTAAGATATGAAATAGCAGTAGTTTGGGTGGAAGTGCAGGGCCATCCTGTTTGCACTCTTACTGCAGAGCAGGCCAGCTGGTTGGCTCTCAGAACGAACTCGAACCCCGCATGAGCACCCTGGCGGACTATCACCCCTTCTCTAATGGGTGCTTTCCTCATAGGCCCCGGACACCACTGTCCTCCCTTCCAATTCAACCGTGGTTGACAATCATCAGTTGGTGAGTTACACAAGGCAGATCACAAAACATTTACCTAAATGCAATGAATTTCAGATAAGTAATGACCAGGATCAGACTTAAAGGAAACCCAGTACGTTGTCAAAATCATGGTGTTGAAAACCACCAGCCTCACGGAGACTCCTAACCATCTCATGGACTTTACTCAGAATGCTCAACACTGTCTGGGCCGCATTTTGGACCATGGACAATTCAGATGAAAGAAGAGAAAACTGTTGTTTTCAGTTGTTGCTAGTGCTCTCAGCTTTGAGTTTATTCACCAGGGCTGAAGAATATGGATTAATTTCTCTCCAGAGCAGCAGAATTAGCGTTGCCTTCAGATACTGCTGGGCACGTCCCTTTAGACCAGACCCACTCATGAGGAACATGGCTGGGACAGTGGGCAAGAAAGTGAGAGCTGCCGGGCTCTGGGCTTCCATGTTTAGGGGGAAAGGCCTTTAAGAAAAGTAACCTAAGTTCAAAAGAGTGAGTCTATTGAAGCCAAAGTCACACATTTATAACCTCCATTCATCCATGTAGCTCTATTTTAACCTGTCCATATTCATCCATAATATTGAAAATGCCCTGGTCAACAATTTTACTGATTTTCAGAATATTATTTTATCCATAACTTTTCATTTTGGCTTCTTTCTTAAAAGTCATTAAATCCACATACACTTACAAAATATCCACCAAAATATTGTGATTATAAATATTTTGAGCATAAAATTCATTCAGAACAATACCAAACCAAACAAATCCCCTGTTGGATAAAGCCCCGAGTCTCCAGCTTCTCACATCTCCAGAATTCCTGCAGTGAAAATAGCAGTACTCACACAGACAATATAAACTGCTACTCTGCTTGAAGAGTCCCAGGGGACTGCACAGGAAGAGCTGCCTCTATATTGCTGTTTTCCTTTACAGTTCTAAATGCAGGGACAACTTTCACTGGGGGGCTCTGACTCACTGCACTGTCATAATGGAAGGGTCCATTCAAGCCGCTGGACAGCAAATTGCATGATCATCTTGCCATCAAAATAGAGTTGACAATTTTTCAGACCATTCACTACAAAGGTCCATTAAAGCACTCACTACAGATAATATCTATGGGGTGGGTTCTACTTTCTTCTTAGAAAGCTTAGTTACTAACTTGAGTAATTCAGAATCACTTTGAAAAGCAATGTCATTAATATACATACTTAAAATCACAAGTACTCAGGGATTACTAAGCCTTATAACTTACGAAAATTAACAAAATTACAATCATGAACTTCACATGAAGCTCCTGATTTAGGGTTTGGGTCTAGGAAGTAAGTGTCAGCCCTTGGTTAAACGCTGGGAACACAGTGATGCATGACGTCCAGGGGATCATTTTTCTCTATCAAAACTGGTTCATTGTCCATATTTAGTTTACATATGTCATTTAGAGTCCACTTACTGTTAGATGCTGGAACAGCCACGCCCTCATGATATTGGTGGCTACTTTGGGAAAGATGCCACGCTTTTTGTGACGCTTTTTGTCCTTATCAGGGTCATCATCGTCACCTGTGCTGGGGGAAGCTACACTGTTGTCCAAGCCATCACCTGCAAACATAGTGAATCAAATTTTGACTGATGCTACCTTAACACACTTTATTCAAATAGAATGCCTTTGGATACAAACAAAACCAAAAGAGCAGTTAAATGATTACTAGTTTCTTTGGTACTTTAATTTTATTCCAAGACAAAGAGAAAGAACAAGGTCTCAGCTCAAAAATAATCACGTCTAAAAAAGAAAAATGTCTTCCAAAGATCAGTACTAAATGCAAAAGGAATGGAGGGAAATAGCCATCTCTGGAGTGGCTTTGTTGCCACGGTAATCATTCCATTGTGGGTAACACCTATACTGGGCAGTTCCGTGTGGTGGCACTGTTACTGGGGATCTCTGCCTGGGTATTTGAACCCCATATACAGTCACTGACGTCAATTGGTGAGACAATGCATTTAATACAGCAACTACTGCCACAGGTGATCTATCTTAAGATTGGTTGGAGCAGGATGGAGAAAGGCAGGCAATCCATCACATAAGCAATTTGCCATAGAATGCTTCAAAGGAGAGATATAAAATTTTTCTTAGTGCAGCATCAAGTTTGGTACGGGGAAAACCCCTGACATACTTTTTAATTCAAAAATAATTACTATTGAAATAAAATAAAAGTAGTGCTGGAATTGTATTGCACTAATAATCTGGGCAGTTTCTAAAATATCTTCTTAAAGTATTGCACACTGAGATGTCACCTGGTAACATATTTCTAATGGATCCCATTTTTCTGTTGGTTTTGTTATATACACTTGAATTGTTTATTTTAGAAAATATTTCAGCTCTGTGACTCAATAAAATGACAATACAGCTTTCCTTTAATAATCCCATACTTGACAACATGAGAAAAAGAGCGTTACTCATATAATCACAGGAACAAAAGTAAGTCACAAGATCTAAATTAGAAATACCTATTTCTGATCCTTGCAGGAAAGTCAAAGGACAAACAGCACTGGACTAAACCCACTACACTGATGATGTGCCTCTGACACATCATCTTCTCACCAGGGAGCTACCTGAGGCCCTCTGGCCTGTCTGCGAATTTAGAAATAAGTTTCTAGAAATGGACAGACTGATCTGGGCCCAGAATGAAGAACTTCAGTGGCCAGGCTTAGAAATGCAGTAATGACTACACCCCAGGGCACACTCATCCCATTAAATAAGTCACTGGGAACCTGTGGTCCAAAGAGCTTGACGCTTTGGTAATACAATTTGCCTGATAACCACCTGTTGGAACTCATCAGAGTTTCTTTCCTGGCTTCACCACCTCCATGGCATGTTTCTACTCTAGGTCCTCAGCGCAACACGAAATCTCTGTTTTGATTTTGCTTATTCTAATCACCTGTTGTAATTACATTGCAAGCAAGTCTTCAGTTCTTCTTAACTGTTCTCTCAGGAGACCCACTCCTCGCCCCTGTAACATGAAAAGTGCCCCTCCCCCCCAGCGTTTCTCAGTTGCCCTGATGTGTCCTGAGATAAACTCCATCCTATGTGGAGCAGATGGATTCCAGCATTTTGACTTGTAGTAGAGCTACACCACACCATGAGCTTTGGCAGAGCTTCTCGGGACGTGAGCTTTTATAAAAATTCTTAATTTTAGTGCATTAAACATCTATAAAGTTGTGAGAGTTGTCCAGCCTCATAGAATGGGTTCTCCCTAGAAAAGATCACCAAGACTCCCCAGCTCCAAAGCCATCAGCCAACTAATGAAGAAGGTCCTGTGTTTCAAGGTCACATGGCTGGATACACTGATGTTGGGGGCCCCAGTGAACCAGACACCCACACACCTAAGTTGATGCTGCCTGCTCTTTATTTGCATAGCCAAGTGCTTTATGAGAAATCCCCTTGGGTTTGCCTAATAAATTCTTTGAAAGTCCAGTATTTAAAGAAGCTCTTCTACAGAGAAGCAATTCACCACATAAAATAACAATTCATTAAAGAAACATGAGAAAAGAAAACAACTCCACACCATTTAAATTTGCAATAGCTAATCCACTTGCGATATGCAGAGGGTGGCCAAGGAAAAGAAACATATGACCCGATCAGTGATTAAAAATGAAAAGCTTCTAACCTAACAATACTGTTTTCCCCACCTCTCCATGATAGGTTTCCACCTTCACAAAAATAGCCTTTTTATCCACCTCAAACCCCTTCAGATTAATTTAGCAAGCAATGCCTAGTGCCCGCCTAAGAGAGAATTCATTGATAATTTATGGAAATATCTACCATAATCCAGTGGAGATGACTTTTTTCCAGCTTTGTGCATTAATAGATAATCAAGGCCTTCAAGCAGCCTTAGTTTCCCATTACCTCGGGCAAAAGAATTCCTGAAAGCGTGCCTTGAGGGCACCTGAATTATATACTCCATTAGGAGAGGGAGGCTTTCTGCATTCCACGGGTAACACTCCCCAGAACCTTTCCTGTTTATTTCTGCTGTATGAAAGCAGAAGCATTAGGAACAGAATTTTTTAAGTGAAGACTTATGTAGATACAATGGAGAAGCCTTTCAGGCGGGAGCCAGATCACCCCTTCAGTCCCTGGCAGTGACCTCTCCTGAATAAAAGGTTTCTGTTACATCATTAGCTCAAGCCAAAAACAGCCCCGGCTTAATGCACAGTTTGTTCTTCCTACTGTTTTTAGGCAAATACAGCTACTTTACTCCCATCTGGGAGGGAAATTACACTGCTGGGCTGTAATCTAAGACAAGATTTTCATTGGAAGCAAATGCTTTCAATCCAGTGTAAATACTGGTGCATGTTCAGAAAGCCTAAAACAATAAACCTTGCTCCTTCCCAACACGGTTAGGGAAATGGAGAAGATGGGGGCTGAGAAGAGCATAATAAAACAGAGTATTCTAAAAGCAAACACTTTCATAGATTTTAATAAATTGTTTAACCTCTTCCACTTTCTAGAATTGAAAATTGATCTCCCAGCGTCTCGACCTCAGAGGAGAAGTCTAAATGGTCAATTGTACCTTTAGCATTTCAATTCACTCCGCAATTTGATACAGTCACCTCGACGCGGTCTCGGGAGGATTTATTTCCTTTTTTTTTTTTTTATTTTTAAGATCACTACACGAACTTGGAGCACCGGGGCCCGACCACGCGGCAGCAGGGCAGCGACTCTGCAGCCCATTTGTAAAATGTCAGCCGCGCCCTCGTTCCTGGTGCCGACTTCTCCTGCCGCCAAGTGAAGGCAAACTGAAAAGGTGGAAATAATCATAAAAATGATGCTCCTCCATAAACAAGCTTACGGCCTCATTAGGGCAGCAGTGGGCTCCGGTGGGTGATTTATGCCCGTTTTGCTGATGCTATGAGGAAATGCCACAGGGCGACTTTAGCCCACTGCTAATGGTTTCTGACAGCTTCTTAGCAACTAGTGCAAGCAACGCTGTGGCGTTTGCTAGTGACAGAAACCGAAAATGTCATATTATCTGCCCATGTGTCATGAAGTCCGTGTGGCAATTAACTAGCAGGCCAGTGACTGAGGGGCCAGAGGCTCCTGAAAATGGCCTTTGGCTATGCAGAGGCAGCAACGGCTGCCTGCGTGTGCACACTGCTGCCCGTATGCAATATTCTAATGCAGAAACCCACTCCTGCAACTTCCCGGGCTCTGATAAGAGCGGGCCCGGCCACTCACGTTCCTTTCTCTCCCTCACCTACGTGACTCTCTGGGCATAGGCTTTGATGCTAACAGAAGACTCCAGAGGGTTCCGCCTTGCTCTGATTAATTGGCGGTACCTGGCTCTGTGCTTTTGGACGCCGCATTCGAAGGTGCTAGCTTTTCTGCTCTCTCACAGATTAATCTAAAAGGATTGAAGATCACTGAAGCAGACTCATTGCCTGTCAGACTGCAAGAAGCAAAAGAACTCTGCACTGCAAAAAAGATACTAGTCCACCAACACCAGGCCTCTAACAAGCAGGGAGAGACTCTTGGCCACACTTTGCAGTTTCCAAGCTATCAAAACCACGCACTATATGTCAAACTGTCAAACCTTTCAGCGTGGGCCATTTGCCCTTTCAAATAATATTTAAGGATTGTTTTTACAAAATTTTATAGGCCATGGTCTAGCGAAAGAGGCCAACCAACAACGAGAGGAATTTGTACTACAATTCTGCTGTGGACAGTCTCTGGGGAGACCTGGGCCTATCCCCGGGGAGCAAGGCAGGTGACCTGTGGCAATTCCCAGGCTGCCAGAGAGCTCAGATTTCAAACCCACTGAACTCAAACATCCCAAGTCTCCTATTTAAGCATGCCTAGGCATTTAGACTCTGCTATCTCCTGCCTTTCAAGGCAGGATAAAGCGGCATTTATTGTACTCAGACTATTCAATAGGTCACAGTGGCCAGGTCAGCAGGGAATTCCTCTACAGACAGGTCCAAGCTCTGCTCCCCCCCCCTTTTTTTTTCTTTTTTAACTATCTTCCCCTTTTCCTCCTGGGACTACCATTCCCCAAAACCTACTGGAAGGGAAGCAAAAACAAACCTCCAAAAAGAGCCTAAGATTTAGACCCTAACTGATGGGAACTCCACATGTCAGTGGACTGTCAGGTAAAAATCAAGTGTGACAGAGGCAAAAGTCCTAAAGACAGAAGTGAACTTTCAACTGTGGGGCACACAGAAGTGAGAGGTTGGGCCCCCCTTGTTTTGCTGGAAGTTGCCAGACAATCATAGATTTGAGAACATTTTCATTTACAATTTTGTGTGGAGACCCCATAGTTTGGGATCATAGCCTATTCCTTTACTTTTCTTCTCTTGTGGTGTTTAGGAATAACACTGCCTTGTCCTCAGAGAGGTACCTAGATTCAATAACCATTGGTAATTGTAGCTTTCAACTTTGGGGAAATTCTGTTTTGTCTAGAAAATGGTCTAAATGGTCACTTCAAAACCAACTGAAGATGGCTCAATCTTCCTGCAGAGGGGATCACTGTGATATTGTCATATGTTGTGACTGTGGACAGACAGAGCAGGACATTAAGGGCTTCCTTTTTCTCTTGGATCTTCCA